TAGGACCAGGGGAAATGGCAGGAAGATGGGCATGGGGAGGTTTAGGTTGGACATCAGGAAAAGATTCTTGAGGCAGAGGGTGGTGGAGCACTGGAACAGGCTCCCCAGGGAGGTGGCCATGGCACCAAGCCTGGCAATATTCAAGAAGCATTTGGCCAAGGCCCTCAGACACATGGTCTTAATCTTGGGATTGTCCTGTGCAGGGACAGGAGTTGGACTTGATGATCCTTGTGGGTCCCTTCCAACTCACAGCATTCAATGATTCTGTGATAAAGCAAGACAGTGTAACACTTTGCTCATGGCATTAATGGTGATAGCAGCCACACAGCCTTTCCTGCTGCTGCAGCGGCATGCTGTTGCATAGAGCAGTCTGGAGATAGGCATGAACCATAGAGAATCAAATACTGGTAGGGGAGGGAAAGCCTATATGCTTCAGCCATTAGAATAATACAAATAATGTCATAATCACTGACATTTAGAGAGCTTTTGTGTTTGGACAGATGTTCCACACATATATACATATAGACATGTTTAAAAATTTGGGCAGCTGGAGGAAATCTATTGTCAAATGTATGTAAATATGCCTCTGCGAAATGGGGTCCCTGCTGCACATCTGGATGCTGCTGCAGTGAGCTCCTGGGGTGTGAAAAGAAGGGAGTTAGGAGTGTGCAGGGAGCTCGTCTCCTGGGACAACTGAGATAAACATTTGGCAGCACCAGTTCCCTGCAGTCACTAGGCATATCATGGTGGGGCTCTGGAAATGTCTCTTTGACATACTATTTGGTCCCTTGTCTGTAAAGTTTTCTCTGGATATCAAAAAGCACTCCATTAAAGTACAAATGAGTTAAAAACAGATCAAAGTACAAGCTTTCTTAAATGTAACCATTGTTTGCACTTTTTACAGATTTTTTTTTTTTTTTTTTTTAAGTGAAATTGCTCTTTATCCTGTACAGGTCCCTCTGATGCATTTTAAATTAATTAATGTCCCTGCATCTGCTAGCTGTCCCACTTTAGTAAAGGGACAATATGTGGTTTTTACAGCTTCTTACAAATGAGTAAGATTGCCTGATTCCCTGGGACCTTAGCAATCCATACATAATGGTAGAGCCTATGACTTTATTGCTATTCTTGCTGCCTCACAATCAACTTCAGGCATTAGAGGATTTTTCTCAAATGGCCTTGGAGATTGAGTAAACAGATAATAAAAAGCCTTTTAAAAAATAGAAAAAGGTTGAAACTTGCCAGCTACAAGCTCAGCAAAACTTCTTTTGGCATCAGTCCCACATATGGTATTAAGGCAGAACACAGCATTCACAACTGTTTTGTTGTAGTGTTGACATGTGCCCACTCCTCTTCATCTCCACTTAGCCTCTGTAAGGAGGACTATGGTAAGACGGTGCTGAGCAATCCCCTGACACCCATCACAAGGGCACATCCTCCGAGGCTTTGTGGCATGGCACCCACCATGATAACGATAAAGGGAGCTGATATCCACAGATACATGCTGTGCAAGGATTAGCCTACTGTATGTTCCCCATACCAAACATGTGCATGGCACTCCAGGGCAGACTGACTGACCCTGAGTCCATAGCTGGGATTTTTCTGATCCTTACGTTGTTCCAAATTCATGTTTTAACATGTTCAGCTCCCTGCAGAGAACAAGGTTTTAGTCCCACAATGGGGAAAAAAAAAAAAAAAAAACCTAAATAGTGACACCAGGCTCTTTTTTTGTGAGACTTGTTTTGAGAGAGCAAGCAGAAAGATTACCCAGAAAGGGGGGGGAAAAAAAAAATCCTCTTCTCAGCTGGATCATGAGACCTTGAATACATGGTAGGTGTCATGCGGTAAGATGCTGGAGGAGGTGGCCCTGTAATGAGAGCCAGAAATACAGGGAAAGCTGGAAGGCAGCTCTGCTGGGCAGAACTTGAAGGTTAAGAGGAGTATCTACCACTTTATGTTCCGAACAAAATTAGGTATTTTCCAAACTCCAGTCTGTAGATTAACTAGGTAGTTCTTTCCTGGGGTAAAAGCACATAGAGATTCTCATCAGCTTGACACCACTCAGTTACTGGTGTTGCGGCTCTGCTGGTGAGGAGAGCGGAGGTGGTGGCAGAAACCCCATCTTTGTAAAGAGGCAGCCAGGGTCCCTCTGGTAGGAAGCAAACAACAGGGCCTTCTTATAGGAGCAGCTTCAGAAAAGGCACAGAAATGTGGTTGTCTCACAACACATAGGGTGGGATCAGTACAGCTGAGACTCTCTGAAGGAATATATTCACCTGAGAAGGGAAAAATAAATTATTATAGAAGGTCAGGTGAAAAGCAAAAGAGGTCAGGACAGACATTTCAAAGCGCAGACAGGTTGCTAAAGCCAAGGATAGGAGACTTTACCTGCAGTTATGTAGCAGGAAGCTAAGCTACAAGCTTTGGTGGGTTTTTTTGTTTTTTCACACTTTTCCCTTCTTCTGTTTTTCTTCTCTTTGTCAGGCGGAGACAGCAGCAAATCGTATCTGCAAGGTGCTGGCAGTCAACCAAGAAAATGAACAGCTTATGGAAGACTACGAAAAACTGGCCAGTGATGTAGGTGTCCATGGTGCTGTTGGTTTCTGAGTGGTGGTATGCAGAGAGGAATTGCATTTAATGTTGGTAACTAATCTTGGGGAATGCTATTGGCCCATGTTTCCCTGAAAAATTTTTTCTTTTCCCTTTCTAGCTTGAGAAAAATTAAAGACTGAAGTTACCTTAAAGGCAAGAGCAATCTACTTTAAAACAGAAAGCTTCCATAGAGCAGCTTTGAGTTTTTCAGTTTATTAAGAGCAGCTGGAGAAATGCTAAAATTAAAGGAAAAATCCAGCTGATTTAACTTGCATTACTCAGGACTATACAGCTTCATAACATCTTTCATACAAATTGTGTGCTGATATACTGCAGAAGTCAAGAATTGGATCAGAGAGAATGGAAGTTAGAGATAATTGAGGAAAGAAATATGCATTTGCTGATAGTTGGAAAGAATCTGTGTAAGATTTGAGCTGGAGGCTGCTTTGGTTAACTGAGATTGCTGACAGACTGACAGCTGTGAAACTACAGAAGTGACCAAATGTGGACTGGAGTATGTTTGTGGAAGATAAGTAGGAAGAAGCAGATGAAGAACAGAAGGACAAATGTAGCCCATGAGCCTGGTTTCAGCCTGGTCACTATTCCACTCACACTATAGATTGCCCATTGCATTAGCACTTCTCCAGCTCCCCAGATAGGTTTGCTAAGGAGGGCTATTCAAAGAGCAACACTGACTTCAAGGAAGCTAGAGTGGGAAAAGTGTAACTGGAGGCAAGAACTTGATTTCTCCTGTTAGATCCTCCTGGAGATAAAATGATTTACAGCATCCTTTAGTTATGCAACAGTCCAGCAAAACTCTGAGGCTTTAGCGTAATCATAGAATGGCTACAGTTGGAAGGGACCTTTAAAGGTCATTTAGTCCAACGTGCAATCTGAGGATGTAGTTTGGTCCCAATTGTCAAAAAGCTGTTCCCTAAGTATGTTGGATTGGCAGTGCTGCAGCAAACACTACTAAGTGTGGTAGGGAATGGGCTGCTCATTAAAAAAAGGACTTCTGAAAAAGCTGGCGAACTTTCCTTTACAAGCCCTGCTGGTGACAGAATCTTTCTGACAGCAAACATGGAAGTAAACAATCCCTAGTGAGATCAGAGAAACACCTCTAGTGTTTTTCAGTTCAATTTTCAGTTCAAGGCTTCTTGTCGTTGCTTTTTCCAGCTGCTGGAGTGGATCCGTCGCACCATCCCCTGGCTAGAGAACCGGGCCCCAGAGAACACCATGCAAGCCATGCAGCAGAAACTGGAGGACTTTCGGGACTACCGTCGCCTGCACAAGCCCCCCAAGGTCCAAGAGAAGTGCCAACTTGAGATCAACTTCAACACCTTGCAGACTAAGTTGCGGCTCAGCAACAGGCCAGCCTTTATGCCTTCAGAAGGGAAAATGGTCTCGGTGAGTGGGGGTAACTGCTTGTATATATCCCAGCCACGCCTAAAAAATAGGACTTCTTTTCTGCTCATGGGTGGGCAGAGCATCCCTACCTTCACAGTGAGCTACTCAGTGGTAGGAATGCTACAGGGTGTAGTTCAGTGAGGCCATAATAAAGAGGGGATCCAAGCAAACATTGCTTCTCTGTATCTGAACCAGACTCTCAGGCTTTTTACAAGTTGCATGTCATTATGAGGACATGTCTGGGTGCCTCTCATTTTTTCTCATTGAAAAATGGTTGGGTTTTGTTGAAGTTTTATGTCAGGAAGTGTTTATAGAGGGACTCTCATGCAGACAGGTATATCCTGACACTGCTACTCCAGCTTATTTTAAGTCTGGCACTTTGTCTTTCTGACCTGTGTGCACTACGCTGTGAGATTAAAAGCCCACATCCACTCTCCCCAACCAACTGGAGCCATGTAGCTCATGGAGACTAATACTGACATACATAGAATCATAGAATGGTTTGGATTGGAAGGGACCTTAAAGATCATCTAGTTCCACCCCCCCTGCCATCAGCAGGGACACCTTCCACTAGATCAGGTTGCTCAAAGCTTCATCCAGCCTGGCCTTAAACACTTCCAGGGAGGGGGCATCCAGAACTTCCTTGGGCAACCTGTTCCAGTGTCTGACCACCCTCACAGTGAAAAACTTCTTCCTAATATCTAATCTAAACCTTCCCTCTTTAAACTCATTTCCCCTTGTCTTGTCATTAGTTGCCCTTATGAAAAGTCCCTCCCCAGCTTTCTTGTAGGCCCCTTCAGGTATTGGAAGGCCGCTATAAGATCTCCCTGGAGCCTTCTCTTCTCCAGGCTGAACAGCCCCAACTCTCTCAGCCTGTCCTCACAGCAGAGGTGCTCCAGCCCTCGGATCATCCTGGTGGCCCTTCTCTGGACTTGTTCTAACAGGTCCATGTCTTTCTTGTGTTGGGGGCTCCAGAACTGGACACAGTACTCCAGGTGGGGCCTTACAAGAGCAGAGTAGAGGGGCAGAATCACCTCCCTCGACCTGCTGGAGACGCTTCTCTTGATGCAGCCCAGGATACGGTTATTGGCCTTCTGGGCTGCAAGCGCACATTGTCTGGTCGTGTTCAGCTTCTAACATCTTCCACCTCATCTTCTAACCTGCCTTTTCTTCTTGTGCTCCTGTCTCTAGGATATAAACAATGCCTGGGGTGGCCTAGAGCAGGCTGAGAAGGGCTATGAGGAGTGGTTGTTGAATGAGATCCGGAGGCTAGAGAGGCTGGATCACCTGGCAGAGAAATTCCGGCAGAAGGCATCCATTCATGAGTCCTGGACAGATGGTAATGCCAACCTATATGCTTCCTATTTCCTGACATAGTGCTGTGCATTACGTAGGGAGGAAGAGACTGATCATGCATAGGTCCTTGCATGAGATTTTCCTCTTGAGAATACTAGGTTCATTTCTTATTAGAAAATAATGCATGAAAATCAGCTTGATCTCTGTTCTGATACATCGTGCAGCCAAAAAATATTGCAAAGTGAGAACTTGTGATAGCAAACAGCTACGGAGCAGAGAAAAAGTTACCATACGGTAAATGCTACTGTTGGCATTTACAGGAGCAGCGTAGCCCAGTTTGCACATTCTGAGATGAGTCCAGTATAAACTGTGACAGCACTGCTGTGAGCTGCACTATGTCCCCTTCTCTACTGTTAACGGCAGACTTGCACTCCATGGTTTGAAAGTGAGGACTGTGCATCTCTAAGCCAGCATGTGTGAGGGCAAGCCTTGGGCAGAGTGTCTGGAGTGGGGTAGATGTCCTTCTGAGGGCCCCTGGGGCTGCCTTGGTGGCAGTGAGCTGGCTTTGGGGGCATTGGGTCCTGTCCTTCATTCTCCTGTCCTTTGGCTCCCTCCCCAGGTAAGGAAGCAATGCTGCAGCAGAAGGATTATGAAACTGCTACCCTCTCGGAGATAAAGGCCCTGCTGAAGAAACATGAGGCCTTTGAGAGTGACCTGGCTGCACACCAGGACCGTGTGGAACAGATTGCTGCTATTGCACAAGAGCTAAAGTACGGCACCCCGGCGCATGTCCCATCCTTGGGGCCAGAGAGGCTTAATCAGCTTTGCCCTCTGCCCTCTGGAGAGCCATAAATTAATCTGCATACAAAAATTCTGGGAAGTCCCAGTGTTTCCAAACAGTATCTAGGATACTGCTCTCCAGTATCCGGACACACCAGAAGAGCAGGCCAGAAAACAGATGAGTTGTGGGTGCTGATGAGGGAGCAGCAGAATTATATTCCCAAGCCAAGTTTCCAAACTCTTCCAGCTCATTATGCTGCTGTGAACCCTTTCCTAAAGAGTCTGACCTGCTGCTGGCACGTGCTGGGTTTCAGAGTTGTAACGCCATCATACTTTTCCAGGAACAGAAGGAAACAGCAGAGAATAGCAGGCTCTCAGTTTGCTCTCTTTTATCAAAAAAATCCTCCTTATTCTGGCAAGAAAAAAAATCTGCTAATGCTTGAGCTCATTGTAGCCTCTACTGCCACCCGGAGCCCTTTGCCCCAGGGGCACTGCTGTCTGCACTTGCTCCAAGGCATCCTCACAGCAGCTCAGGTCCCTCCCTGCTCCCCCCCCTCGCCTTTTCCTGGAGTGACAGTGGTGCAGGTTACCAGGGCAAATGGGGTCTCCTCAGGGTGGGACGTTGATTGCTAGGGATAGCAGGCAGGCAAAGAGCTAGCCTCTGCAGCACAGGGAGAGACTTTGAAACTGTATGTGTTTCTTGGCAAAAACAGGCTGAATAACTTGGCTTTTACTTTGTTTCCTATTTTAAAAATATTTATATATCCCACTGTCCTATCTCAAGTTAGTGTCTGGGCTCAGATCAGCATTTGTGGGCTGAAGGACTGTTTTTCTTTAAAAAAATCAGGATTATTGGATCAAGATCATTATCTCCTTTAACAACACAGATTTACAGAATTGCTCCCTTGTCCACTGGAGGATTGACCTTGGACCAGGAGGAGGGTTCAAGGCAATCCTCCATGTCAGTAAGATTAAAACCAAGGCTGGCTAGTCAGCAAGCATTAGCTGACCTGTCACTTCCAAATCACATGTTACATACCAGCCAAAGCAGCTGCAGCTCTAAAAGCAACAGGGAAGGCTGAGCCCTAAGCTGGGAGAGGGGTGATTTCTTCCAAAGTGTGAGAACAGAAGGCTCTAACATCCTTCCAAAAGCCATCTCCCATCTCAGCAAAGGGGCTGTGCCCTGAAGAACCATGGCTGACTTTTCTCCCCTGGAGATACACTGCCAGGGAGATGGAGATGGTCTGGAGGAAGCCACTGCGACGGCCCATGCCAGATGTGTTTGGAGGCATGGCACGTTCCACTCCCCAGCAGTAGTGCTCCAGCATGGGCACATTACAACCCAGGCTTTCAGAATCTGTTCTTTTATCTGTAGTGCTGGCTCTGCAGCAAAAGTAGATCAAGGAACTGATCTGGATTAAAAACCCAACAAAGAAAAAGTTATTTTTAGTCCAAATCAGTTTCCTGACTAGTTTACGGCAAGACTCCACCAAAGGTTGTGCCCACACATGTCAGAAGGGCAATACAATGGTGGGAAGAAACAAGGGTAGGGGAGGCAAGAGGAAACTGTTTAAACCTGCATTACTGCTTAGAGAAATGCTCATCAGGTGGCCCAGGGTCACTCAGTAGCCCAGTGAGTTACTCTGCTTTCTCATTTGAGGCTGACACTTCCCAGCTTGGCTGGTTTTCCTCTGCCTGCAGGTTTCTCCCTCTTTGACCATGTGCCGAACCAAGACCACAGAGCAATACAGGACCACAAGCTTCAGCTTACCCCCTTGCTCTCCTTTCCCTAGCCGTACTCTTCCCAACCTGAATTCCATGAGTGCCAGCCTATAGACATCTCAAATAAGCACTCCCTATCAGGCATACAGGAGAGAATTCTGGGATTGTCCTCAATAAATTAATGATTGTGTCATTTAGCTGTTCCTTTCCACCTATACTATGCAACTCTTAGAACAACCTTAAGCGGTTTCTTTGTATTCATAGTAAAGTCTTTGCTGCTCATTCTGACGTACAAGATGCAGATAGTTAGCCTGCATGGTGTTCTTAAGCAGAATACAGGGGCATATTGCTCTGCTCACCATCTGCTTATCCCCATCTTGAGCAAAAGTCTATACTCCCTTCCCCCAGTGCCAAGTTACTCCCATCAGGCAGCCAGCACCAGTGTTTGTTGAGGCCTTGGGTGGTGGTTGTTTTTCTTCCTGTTCTGTGTTGTTTGACATACCATAACATCCAGTGTCTCCAAAACTAGATACTGCTGTCTTCCTGGCCCACTTTACTTGCAGAGACCATGAGCTCTTTGTCTGAATCTGTCTTCAAGGCTGATCAAGATTTCTAATGGGTTTCTTTTTCTTCTCCAAAGGTCTTTATTTGACTTCTTATTCTTTTTTTTCCTACCCCTTATAGTGAGCTGGACTATTATGACTCTCCCAGTGTCAATGCCAGGTGCCAGAAGATCTGTGATCAGTGGGATAATCTGGGTGCCCTAACCCAGAAACGTAGAGAAGCCTTGGAGGTGAGACATGTTACAAGTTGGACCTTCGGGGTTATGTGGGTAGGTCATCTGTGGGAAGCAAGCTGCAGTGGGCACGAGCAACCAGTTTCAGCTCTTTTGTGCACTCCTAGAACATCCCAGGCTGTAAACGATGGCTGCTTTTCAGTATATTTAGTCTGCTTTTCCCCTTCCAGCCCAATTATGGTGCCATTCATTTGCTCAGGCTATTGATTTGTTTCCACTTTTCTGTGTTTTGTAATTTTGTTCTTGAAAAGATTGTCCTTGTGTTGTTTTATTTGAAAGAACCTCAGGTTTTTCCCTCAGAGGAAAAAACCCCATGCTGTGTGTAATCTCTTAACAGCAGGGAGACTTTTACTGTAGTGCTGTCCTGGGAGCACCAAGGAGGCCTGAAAGGAAGCTCAGACAACCCACGTACCTATGTGATTATTCTTTAGCCATCTTTCCTGATTTTCTTTCTTTTTTTTGTGCTTGCACAGAGGACAGAGAAGCTACTGGAAACAATTGACCAGTTGTACCTGGAATATGCCAAACGAGCTGCCCCTTTCAATAACTGGATGGAAGGGGCTATGGAGGACCTGCAGGACACGTTCATTGTTCACACCATTGAGGAGATCCAGGTATGGAGCAGTCACTCGCACCAGTCAGGCTGGGACAGAGAGAAATCAGGGGTCTCCTGGATTCCCAGTGGTGCTGAATTTGTAGGTCGTGTTTTGATGCTTCTGCTCTAGTGAGTGAGCCTTAGCAAGAGAAACAAAAAGGAGTATATTTTCCCTTGACTTTCTCTAAAAACTTGGATCTGAATAGATACGAAACACGCTTACACCATCCTAGCGGGACACAAAGGACTAGAAGTGGATTTTTCACTGTAACTCCAGAGTCTTATTAATGAAAGCCTGAAAACTGAGATAATATTTTAGGGTTTTTTTAACCCACATGAGCAAAGCTGAGTGCTGTTCAAAGGTTCTGCAGGTCAGTTGTCCCATGTAATGTCATGTCCAGGTCAGTTGATCCTGTGTGATAGGATGTGCCATGAGGGCAGTTGTTGAGCTGCCAGCTGGGTTTCGGTGCTGAGCACAAGAAACATCAGAATTGTCCACTTTGGTAGTGGATTAGCCTTAGCCTGATACCAGCTGTGTTACTGAGCTGCTACTTGTTTCTTCCACCCTTCTCTCCTGAACAAAGGGGTTCATTAAGTCTTTCATAATGCAGAACAAATCTGAACAGCATTTAAACACTTCCATCATCTCTTTTTTACTGTTTGCAGTATCTTTCCCAGCCCCTCAGACTTGCATTACATCTCTATGGCCACTGCAGCAGCTGCAAAGTAATGAGTCACCATGTGAGGAAGCAATTTTACAAAAAAAAGTTAACAGTGTGTGTGTTGTAGGAGAGTGGTCAACCATGCAGTTTACTTTCATTCCCTCTTCTGTCCACACTGTTCCCTCGATTATCCCTGCACATACCTCTCTGTCCCCATTCATTCTGCTGCCTCT